TATGGAGAGACCATGAGGATTTGTGTTTTCTTTTCTTTTTGCATACAGGTATGTGCAACGCAATATTGTTATTATTAGCGGTAATTATGGTATTTTTTGTATTCTTGTGTTCTTTTGGTCTGTACTGTATATGCACTGTGTTAGCTGTGTTCAGTCTGCGCCTAGCGTCTGAGGAGGGGACTGCGAGCGTGTGATATGGAGAGACCATGAGGATTTGTGTTTTATTTTTTTTTATACAGAACTGCAGATAAAGTCAACCAGTGATCCTACATGATCGAGAGACCAGAGAGAGACCTGAGAGAGAGACCTGAGGGAGAGACCTGAGAGAGAGACCAGAGAGAGGCACCAGAGAGAGACCAGAGAGAGAGACCAGAGAGAGACCAGAGAGAGACCTGAGAGAGAGACCTGAGAGAGACCAGAGAGAGACCAGAGAGAGAGACCAGAGAGAGACCAGAGAGAGACCTGAGAGAGAGACCTGAGAGAGACCAGAGAGAGACCAGAGAGAGAGACCAGAGAGAGACCTGAGAGAGAGACCTGAGAGAGAGACCAGAGAGAGACCTGAGAGAGAGACCAGAGAGAGACCTGAGAGAGAGACCTGAGAGAGAGACCAGAGAGAGACCTGAGGGAGAGACCTGAGAGAGAGACCAGAGAGAGGCACCAGAGAGAGAGCAGAGAGAGAGACCAGAGACAGACCAGAGACAGATCTGAAAGACCAGAGAGAGAGACCTGAGCTCTCCCTCCACTCTCTCTCTGGTCTCTCTCCCTCCTCTCTCTCTCTCTCTCTCTCTCTCTCTCTGTCTCTCTCTCTCTCTCCACACGACTGCTTTACTTTTACACCTCCAACAAAACCCTCAGCTTCGCTCGTCACTTTTCTCCGCACTCATAAAAACCCCAAACAAACCCAGACCGGTGCATCTGTCCTGGCCTTTCATTCCCGTCTCTCTCCAATCACCGCTCTCTCCCGTGGCGCCTGGTGTGAGTTTAAGTGTATATTGTGCGTCGTCTCGGAGAAGAAAGACCTCTCGTCACATCTGAATAACGTCCCTTTTAGGCCTCTCTTTCCTCTCCTCTCCCCCCAACACCAGCGTCCGCCTCTGGGTTCTCTGTTCTCCATGATGAGGTCGAATGTGTTTCAGATTCTGGGTGTCTTTGTTTGTTCGTCTCTATCTCAGGTTTTCACGAGGCCCTGAAAAGAAAATCCAATATAAATGCAAATCCCCACCTCGCCATTAATGCATTTTAAAGGCCTGGAATCAGCATTGCACTGTAATCAAAGGGACGAGAGCAATGATGTCTGTGGCTCGGGACAAGTGCGTTTATGAAAATGTGCGACGCTGATTTATGGAAGTGAACGGATGAAATGATGGAGAGAAAAAAGGTTGTTCTGAGAAAGTCTCTGCGATACTTTGGGTTTGTGTCGAGGGAGATTGAATAAGACGTCAAAACAGCCTACAATGTAAAGAGAGTGAGTGTGTGTGTGTTTGTGTGTGTGTTTGTGTCTTTCTGTCTGTGTGTGTGCCTCTGTCTGTGTCTGTTTGTGTGTGTTTCTGTCTGTGTGTGTGCCTCTGTCTGTGTCTCTCTATGGTTTTGCGTGTGTGTTTCTGTCTGTGTGTGTGCCTCTGTCTGTGTCTCTCTATGGTTTTGTGTGTGTGTTTCTGTCTGTGTGTGTGCCTCTGTCTGTGTCTGTTTGTGTGTGTTTCTGTCTGTGTGTGTGCCTCTGTCTGTGTCTCTCTATGGTTTTGCGTGTGTGTTTCTGTCTGTGTGTGTGCCTCTGTCTGTGTGTGTGCCTCTGTCTGTGTCTCTCTATGGTTTTGCGTGTGTGTTTCTGTCTGTGTGTGTGCCTCTGTCTGTGTCTCTCTATGGTTTTGTGTGTGTGTTTCTGTCTCTGTCTGTTTGTGTGTCTTTCTGTCTGTGTGTGTGCCTCTGTCTGTGTCTCTCTATGGTTTTGCGTGTGTGTTTCTGTCTGTGTGTGTGCCTCTGTCTGTGTCTTTCTGTCTGTGTGTGTGCCTCTGTCTGTGTCTGTTTGTGTGTCTTTCTGTCTGTGTGTGTGCCTCTGTCTGTGTCTCTCTTTGGTTTTGTGTGTGTGTTTCTGTCTGTGTGTGTGCCTCTGTCTGTGTCTGTTTGTGTGTCTTTCTGTCTGTGTGTATGCCTCTGTCTGTGTCTCTCTATGGTTTTGTGTGTGTGTCTTTCTGTCTGTGTGTATGCCTCTGTCTGTGTCTCTCTATGGTTTTGTGTGTGTGTTTCTGTCTCTGTCTGTTTGTGTGTCTTTCTGTCTGTGTGTGTGCCTCTGTCTGTGTCTCTCTATGGTTTTGCGTGTGTGTTTCTGTCTGTGTGTGTGCCTCTGTCTGTGTCTCTCTATGGTTTTGCGTGTGTGTTTCTGTCTGTGTGTGTGCCTCTGTCTGTGTCTGTTTGTGTGTCTTTCTGTCTGTGTGTGTGCCTCTGTCTGTGTCTGTTTGTGTGTCTTTCTGTCTGTGTGTGTGCCTCTGTCTGTGTCTCTCTTTGGTTTTGTGTGTGTGCCTCTGTCTGTGTGTGTGCCTCTGTCTGTGTCTCTCTATGGTTTTGTGTGTGTGTTTCTGTCTGTGTGTGTGCCTCTGTCTGTGTCTCTCTTTGGTTTTGTGTGTGTGTTTCTGTCTGTGTGTGTGCCTCTGTCTGTGTCTGTTTGTGCGTCTTTCTGTCTGTGTGTGTGCCTCTGTCTGTGTCTCTCTATGGGTTTGTGTGTGTGTCTTTCTGTCTGTGTGTCTGTGTTTTTGTGTGGGTGTGTGTGTCTGTGTTCTGTGGGTATGTGTGAGTGTGTGTGTTTGTGTGTCTTTCTGTCTGTGTGTGTGCCTCTGTCTGTGTCTCTCTATGGTTTTGTGTGTGTGTCTTTCAGTCTATGTGTCTGTGTTTGTGTGTGGGTGTGTGTGTCTGTGTTCTGTGGGAATGTGTGAGTGTGTGTGTTTGTGTGTCTTTCTGTCTGTGTGTGTGCCTCTGTCTGTGTCTGTTTGTGTGTCTTTCTCTCTTTGTGTGTGTCTTTCTGTTTGTGTGTGTGCCTCTGTCTGTGTCTGTCTGTCTGCGTGTGTCTGTGTCTATTGGGGCGTGTTTTTATGTGTGTGTCATTCTGTCTTTTTGTGTGTGTGAGAGTGTGTGTCTAAATCACAGCATTCTTCTTGTAGGACTTTATAAAGCTGTAGATCCAGGACTGAGACTGTAGACTCAGGACTGAAGCTGTAGATCCAGGACTGAGGCTGTAGACCCAGGACTGAGGCTGTAGACCCAGGACTGAGGCTGTAGATCCAGGACTGAGGCTGTAGATCCAGGACTGAGGCTGTAGACCCAGGACTGAGGCTGTAGACCCAGGACTGAGGCTGTAGATCCAGGACTGAGGCTGTAGATCCAGGACTGAGGCTGTAGACCCAGGACTGAGGCTGTAGACCCAGGACTGAGGCTGTAGACCCAGGACTGAGGCTGTAGATCCAGGACTGAGGCTGTAGATCCAGGACTGAGGCTGTAGACCCAGGACTGAGGCTGTAGATCCAGGACTGAGGCTGTAGACCCAGGACTGAGGCTGTAGACCCAGGACTGAGACTGTAGATCCAGGACTGAGGCTGTAGATCCAGGACTGAGGCTGTAGATCACATGTGTCAAAGTCAAGGCCCGTGGGCCAAATCCGGCCCGCGAATTAATTATCTATGGCCCCCGGGACATTGCCTGCCATTGAGGTAATGTATTGACCCCTTAAGCTCGCTAGCCCCCGCCGGCGGGAGCAAACGAGGAAGAAAATACATCTGCTGGCAATAGCAGATGTATTTTGAACTTCATAAGCCACAAGCTATTTATCATTTTAAAGATTATTTTCTCAGCTATATTTATATGTAAGTGTAAACGATATCAGACTTTGCATTAAAAAGATATAACGCCTAATATGGGCACAAAATAAATCACGTCTGTATTTGTTTTTTACCTTTCGTCTTCTGCTGCTCCAACAAATTAGACTTTCCCCATCCTTGCTTAGTCTCTTTCTCTCCGTAACTGTTCATTGAAGAAGAATATCCACTTGTATTTCCCAAAGTATAATCCATTCTTCAGATTTAATCAAAAAACGCCCCGAAAAGAGGTCCAGACTGCTCTTTTACATTTCACCAAGTTTGAGCTTTGTATTTTTTTTACTATTTTCATGTTCTCAGATGTCTATTACATCTAATGTGTACAGTATGAGTATTGGCTTTAGAGCATATTTTATCGAGCCAACAGGTTTCACCGGCACTGCCTCTGGATGTTGAGAAACATTGAACCAGTCCGGCCCTCGGCTCGTAGCAAACTTTTTTTTTTGGCCCTTTGATGTATTTGACTTTGACATGCCTGCTCTAGATCCAGCACTGAGGCTGAGGATCAAGCCTCTGCCTGACCCTAACCCTATGCCTTTGTGGTCATAACAAAACAATGTCTGTCCAACTTTTTCAAAGATATTTTCTTCTCCACTCCGTCCTAAAACTTCCAACAACTTGATTATTTCAATGATCTTCAAAGATTCCAGCAATTAGTCCGTTCCCTGCCGAGCTCCTCACACACTCTCTGTGGATGTGTAGCATATGTTTAGCACGAGGCAATTACACATCCTCCCAAAGAAACGGCAGCCTTTCTGGTCCGTCATTAATTATTCTTAAAGATAATGGCTCCGCAGGAAGCCTCTGGAATGAACCCCGACGAAGATGAACCCGATGAAGATGAACCCGATGAAGATGCACCCGATGAAGATGCAGTTGTTGCTCTCACCAATTCATCAAACAGAAAGCTTTATGTCTCCCACTCTCGGTTTGAAAGTAAGCGAGACACTGTAGATTATGAGAGATTAGGATTAATACAGATCACTTAAAAAAAAAAAAAAAACCAATGGAGGAGGATGTGGGCGTGGCCTCAGCAGCCAGTGGGCGTGGCCTGTGCAGGTGGTGGGCGTGGCCTCGGGATGCGATAGGCGTGTGATGGGCAGGTGGTGGGCGTGGCATGGACAGGTGGGCGTGGCCTCAGCAAGCAGTGGGCGTGGCCTCCGGCACAGTCAGGCCTTTACTCAGGAGGAAAGCCTCTTGTTTTGGTTCTCGGCCCAAAAACCTCCTCAGCATCTCAGAGGTGTCCAGACAGCCTCCAGGGGACAGGATGAAGCGGCGGTAATCCAGCCCCACCTGTGGGTTCATGATGCCCTCCTTCTTGAAGCGGGCGTAGAACATGTCCATAGAAACACCTCGCTCCACAGATATCCATAATACTGAGCGTCGTATCCTCCGGCCAGGTGTCCAAAGGTCGCGGGCATGTTGGTACCTGGAGAGGAGGGGATCAGTTGGTAGAGCATTGGCCTTCAGGCCTGAAGGTCGTGGGTTCAATTCCCACCTCTACACCTTCTCCACCGACTCCCACTGATGACTGCTGTCGTTGTGTCCTTGGGCAAGACACTTAACCCCACTTTGCCCAAAGCTCCCACTGAAAGATCAAGGCTATGCTCACGCTCAGAGAGCAGCCGTCCTCCTGTGGACTCACCACCTGCAGAGGGTCAGTGAGGGGCTGGTGCTATGAGACTTGGGTGGCATCTATGACTGCCACCCCCCTGACCCAGAAATGGATTAAAGGGAAGAAAATGGATGGATGGATGGATGGATGGATTAATACAGATTTATAGGTCCGACGGCAAGGAAATGTCAGTGTTGCATCAGCAAGTACAGAACAGTAGGAGCGAGGTGTGTCTTTCTGTCTGTGTGCGTCTGTACCCAGGACTGAGGCTGTAGACCCAGGACTGAGGCTGTAGACCCAGGACTGCGGCTGTAGACTGAAGTCAATAATTCCCTTGACTGGACGTGTTCAAAGTTGGCGAAAAATCAGACTAAGTGTTTTGAGAAAAAACCTAAGTGTTTAGGCTGTAGGACCAGGCACACGTTGAAAATCAAGACTAAGTGTTTTGAGAAAAAACCTAAGTGTTTAGGCTGTAGGACCAGGCACACGTTGAAAATCAGACTAAGTGTTTTGAGAAAAAACCTAAGTGTTTAGGCTGTAGGACCAGGCACACTTCGAAAATCAGACTAAGTGTTTTGAGAAAAAACCTAAGTGTTTAGGCTGTAGGACCAGGCACACATTGAAAATCAGACTAAGTGTTTTGAGAAAAAACCTAAGTGTTTAGGCTGTAGGACCAGGCACACGTTGAAAATCAGACTAAGTGTTTTGAGAAAAAACCCAAGTGTTTAGGCTGTAGGACCAGGCACACACTGAAAATCAGACTAAGTGTTTTGAGAAAAAACCTAAGTGTTTAGGCTGTAGGACCAGGCACACTTCGAAAATCAGACTAAGTGTTTTGAGAAAAAACCTAAGTGTTTAGGCTGTAGGACCAGGCACACATTGAAAATCAGACTAAGTGTTTTGAGAAAAAACCTAAGTGTTTAGGCTGTAGGACCAGACACACGTTGAAAATCAGACTAAGTGTTTTGAGAAAAAACCTAAGTGTTTAGGCTGTAGGACCAGGCACACTTCGAAAATCAGACTAAGTGTTTTGAGAAAAAACCTAAGTGTTTAGGCTGTAGGACCAGGCACACATTGAAAATCAGACTAAGTGTTTTGAGAAAAAACCTAAGTGTTTAGGCTGTAGGACCAGACACACGTTGAAAATCAGACTAAGTGTTTTGAGAAAAAACCTAAGTGTTTAGGCTGTAGGACCAGGCACACGTTGAAAATCAGACTAAGTGTTTTGAGAAAAAACCTAAGTGTTTAGGCTGTAGGACCAGGCACACGTTGAAAATCAGACTAAGTGTTTTGAGAAAAAACCTAAGTGTTTAGGCTGTAGGACCAGGCACACTTCGAAAATCAGACTAAGTGTTTTGAGAAAAAACCTAAGTGTTTAGGCTGTAGGACCAGGCACACGTTGAAAATCAGACTAAGTGTTTTGAGAAAAAACCCAAGTGTTTAGGCTGTAGGACCAGGCACACACTGAAAATCAGACTAAGTGTTTTGAGAAAAAACCTAAGTGTTTAGGCTGTAGGACCAGGCACACTTCGAAAATCAGACTAAGTGTTTTGAGAAAAAACCTAAGTGTCTAGGCTGTAGGACCAGGCACACGTTGAAAATCAGACTAAGTGTTTTGAGAAAAAACCTAAGTGTTTAGGCTGTAGGACCAGGCACACGTTGAAAATCAGACTAAGTGTTTTGAGAAAAAACCTAAGTGTTTAGGCTGTAGGACCAGGCACACTTCGAAAATCAGACTAAGTGTTTTGAGAAAAAACCTAAGTGTTTAGGCTGTAGGACCAGGCACACTTCGAAAATCAGACTAAGTGTCTAGCTTGTAGTACTAGGCACGTTTTGTTCTGTTTGTAGTCCCAGGCACGCCTGGTTTTTCCAGCAGCGCTTAAGGGTGTGCAGTCCGAGGGGGGGGCTTAATAGTGGGTACCCGGGTCCGACTGGTGCACACGTCTTCCCCGGCCCCGGCGGTCCCTGGAGGTGCGCCTGCGGGGGTGTGGGGTGCTGTGGTCGGGGAGCAGCCTGCCAGAGCCCCCCTGGAGGTCCTGGGCTTCCCCACACCTAACCTTAACCCCCACGGAGATCCAGGCCGCCCCCCACGGCCTTTCCAAGGGCCATAACTTTCTGGTCCTTTGTCCCCCTTGCGTCAAATTCACACCGCGGGTAGCCCGGGATCAGGGGAGTCCTTGGGTCCAACCCCCGTGTCTCTACCCCCTTGGGCTCGGCTTTGAGGATCCCGGAAAGCGGGGCTTTCTTCCCCCGGGAATGGGCGCCCAGGCCCGGATCTGAGCGGGAGCAAAGCCCGCCCCGGTGGTAGCCCAGGTCCGGAGGAGTGCGTGGGTGAAAACCCCGTGTCCCTAGCCCTTATGGTTCGTTTTCTACGAGCCCTGGAAGCCGAGGTTATCCTCCCCCAGAATGAGCGCTCTTGGGCGGGTGGCAGACGCGTGGTTTCCAAGGGCCATAACTTTCTGGTCCTTTGTCCCCCTTGCGTCAAATTCACACCGCGGGTAGCCCGGGATCAGGGGAGTCCTTGGGTCCAACTCCCGTGTCTCTACCCCCTTGGGCTCGGCTTTGAGGATCCCGGAAAGCGGGGCTTTCTTCCCCCGGGAATGGGCGCCCAGGCCCGGATCTGAGCGGGAGCAAAGCCCGCCCCGGTGGTAGCCCAGGTCCGGAGGAGTGCGTGGGTGAAAACCCCGTGTCCCTAGCCCTTATGGTTTGTTTTCTACGGCTTCCCCACACCTAACCTCGACCCCCCTGGAGATCCAGGCCGCCCCCACGCCTGCACATAGCCCCCCTGGAGGTCCAGGCCTTCCCCACACCTAACCTTAACCCCCATGGAGACCCAGGCCCTCCCCACACCTAACCTTAACCCCCATGGAGATCCAGGCCCTCCCCCACGCCTGCACATAGCCCCCCTGGAGAACCAGGGCTTCCCCACACCTAACCTTAACCCCCATGGAGATCCAGGCCTTCCCCAAACCTAACCTTAACCCCCATGGAGATCCAGGCCGCCCCCACACCAGCACATAGCCCCCCTGGAGAACCAGGGCTTCCCCACACCTAACCTTAACCCCCATGGAGATCCAGGACGCCCCCACACCAGCACATAGCCCCCCTGGAGGTCCTGGGCTTCTCCACGCCTAACCCTAGCCCACCTGGAGAACCAGGCCCTCCCCCACACCTGCACATAGCCCCCCTGGAGAACCAGGGCTTCCCCACACCTAACCTTAACCCCCATGGAGATCCAGGCCGCCCCCACACCAGCAAATAGCCCCCCTGGAGAACCAGGCCCTCCCCCACACCTGCACATAGCCCCCCTGGAGAACCAGGGCTTCCCCACACCTAACCTTAACCCCCATGGAGATCCAGGCCGCCCCCACACCAGCACATAGCCCCCCTGGAGAACCGGGCCCGCCCCCACACCAGTACATAGCCCCCCTGGAGAACCAGGGCTTCCCCACGCCTAACCTTAACCCCCATGGAGATCCAGGCCGCCCCCACGCCAGCACATAGCCCCCCTGGAGAACCAGGGCTTCCCCACACCTAACCTTAACCCCCATGGGGATCCAGGCCTTCCCCACACCTAACCCTAACCCCCATGGAAGTCCAGGCCGCCCCCACGCCTGCACAGAGCCCCCCTGGAAATCCAGGCCGCCCCCCACGCCTGCACATAGCCCCCCTGGGGGTCCAGGCCTTCCCCACACCTAACCTTAACCCCCATGGAGATCCAGGCCGCCCCCACGCCTGCACATAGCCCCCCTGGAGGTCCAGGCCTTCCCCCCACACCTAACCTTAACCCCCATGGAGATCCAGGCCGCCCCCCACGCCTGCACATAGCCCCCCTGGAGGTCCAGGCCTTCCCCACACCTAACCTTAACCCCCATGGGGATCCAGGCCCTCCCCACACCTAACCTTAACCCCCATGGAGATCCAGGCCGCCCCCCACGCCTGCACATAGCCCCCCTGGAGGTCCAGGCCTTCCCCACACCTAACCTTAACCCCCATGGGGATCCAGGCCCTCCCCACACCTAACCTTAACCCCCATGGAGATCCAGGCCGCCCCCCACGCCTGCACATAGCCCCCCTGGGGGTCCAGGCCTTCCCTCCCCACACCTAACCTTAACCCCCATGGAGATCCAGGCCGCCCCCACGCCTGCACATAGCCCCCCTGGAGGTCCAGGCCTTCCCCACACCTAACCTTAACCCCCATGGAGATCCAGGCCGCCCCCCACGCCTGCACATAGCCCCCCTGGAGGTCCAGGCCTTCCCCACACCTAACCTTAACCCCCATGGGGATCCAGGCCCTCCCCACACCTAACCTTAACCCCCATGGAGATCCAGGCCCTCCCCACACCTAACCTTAACCCCCATGGAGATCCAGGCCTTCCCCACACCTAACCTTAACCCCCATGGGGATCCAGGCCTTCCCCACACCTAACCTTAACCCCCATGGGGATCCAGGCCTTCCCCACACCTAACCTTAACCCCCATGGAGATCCAGGTCCGCTCCCCCACACCTAACCTTACCCCCTGGAGATCCAGGCCTCCCCACACCTAACCTTAACCCCCATGGAGATCCAGGCCTTCCCCACACCTAACCTTAGCCCCCATGGAGGTCCAGGGCCCCTTCCCCATAGCCCCCTGGAAGGCCTTCCCACACCCCCTTAACCCCCATGGAGACCCAGGCCCTCCCCAGACCTAACCCTAACCGGCCTGGAGGTCCTGGTAGCCCCCACACATGAACATAGCCCCCCTGGAGAACCAGGCCTTTCCCACCCCTCAGCCTACAAATCAGCCTAAGTGTTTTGCCAAAAAACCTAAGTGTCTATGCTGTAGTACTGGGCTCGCTGTGGCCGAGTGGCAAAGGCGATGGAAAATGGGAGTCATTGAGGTCCTCCCACGCAGGTTCGAATCCTGCCCACAGCACTTAGAATTATTTTCACATTTGCTTGGAGCACCAGGCCTGTGATGGCTCTATTTCAAGCCGTACTTCAGGGCTTTTTTCGGGGTTAAAACCTCCGAGGACCCCCCCTGGGTCTCAGGCTTTCCAGTGCTGCATTTATGTCCGGATTTCTAAGCTTTTTTCGGG